CATGGCTCACCGGAAAAACGAAGTAAGCAAAACGACATCTTTCCGCCCTTTTCTTTCCCCACATGATTTGAAAACCCTTGAACCTGGAGGCATTGCCGCCTCTATCCGACCTATCTGCACCATCAGCGACCTCCTTCTCCACCACATGGACCTCAAAATCCGCCTCGTCATTAGCACTATCGATCGGAACACTAGGCCTGGCTTGATACATTGGTGTCGATGCGCCACTGTCGACTTTCCCATCTTCTTCTTCCTCACCATCACAATCGTCAACGACCACAGATTTCAAATGATTCCCTACATCAACAAACTTTGGATAACCATGGACTGCCTTCACCAACTCGTGCTCATCCACCATATCAGAAATCCCTATTCTTCCCTTAACTCCTCTAAGTCCCTGCTCGGCATGCAAGCTAGATAATACTTCTCATATTGTCGAAAGGATTCGGAAAGTCCCAAGTAGAAGCCCGAGGAGGCGAGGGGGCGGTGACGTCGGCTTCTCCTTTGCTTGCCGCTAGAGTCATGGGTGTTTGCTCGTAGACCACAAACGGCGTCACTTTACTCCTCATATCCCTATACTCCTCATTATGATTTTGTGGGACCATTACCAATTGTTCTAAAAGCTTAAAATGTTAGATGAATGTATGGTTTAATATTTAAATATTCTATCACTTACGCTTAGTCTGGTCTTTTCTGAGTCAATACTATGCGTGGACATATTTAATTAGATATGCAAATGGTGTCTGGAAAGATTTAAAGTCAAGGCCTCCAACTCTGATACCATGTGATATTTGCCAACTGTTTTATTAGTTTAAGCTTTTAAGTTGGATTTTCTAACATAATTACATAGCCAATGCCATCCCTTTGGCGAATGTGCGTCCCCCTCCCATTAGTCAAATTTCAAATCCAGTGTAGACGTGAGAGGGGTGTTGAAATATTGTTCCATATCGCTTGACAAAGGGTCTTATATTATCTGATATCATGTGAGATTTAGTGGGATCATTGCCAATTGTTTTAAAAGCTTAAGCTGTTAGATAAGGTGTGGTTAAATATTTAAAGTGCTGCCATCCCACCTGGAGCGTTTACCAAAGTGCTGCCAAATAAAAATTCCTCGACCATACTATCGAAAGCTCCAGCTCCTGTCACTGATATTGGTATTTCCATGGTCAATCAGCCGAAGAATCTTGTTCGTGATGCTTCACAGTCAGGTTTTTCCTATACAAATGTCAAACATGGTGGAAGTCAGAAGTCAGGCTCCATTAACAAAAGTAGAGATACTTTCAATTCTTTGAATCTATCTCCAAATAGATTTGTGTTATTGGACGAGGGCGATCATTATGCTATTTCTGACTGGCCCGTTGCTCTACTTGGGGATGTAGGGAGTGGAGCGGAACCCCCTGACCAATGAATATCCTCTCATGGAACGTACGGGGCCTTAACAGTAGCCCCAAACAAAAGGAAATTGTAGATTTTGCTTTATCTCAAGACCCTTCTATTCTTATTTTGATTGAGCATAAAATAAAAGAGGGAAATGCGGAATTTGTCATCAATAGTAAGTTTCGAGGCTGGAAATTTATCCATAACTATCAAAACAGCAGTCTGGGTAGAATATGGGTATTATGGAAACTGTCTATTTTAAACTTGACTATGATGGAAGGTTCGGCTCAAGTCATTCACTGCCTTGTTGAAAAACCAGGAGATGACTCATTTCTCCTATCTGCAATTTATGGAGGCAATTTTGAAACTGAAAGGAGATCCCTATGGCATAATGTTAATACATTCTCCACTGGTAATACAGGAAATATGCCTTGATTACTTATAGGTGATTTCAATGAAACGAGAGATACAATTGAACGGATCGGATCTAATACCCGATGGACTTCTGGAATGGATGAGCTAAACACAATGATTGAGGAGCTGGCGCTGATTGAGCCTAATTCCACAGGCCCATTTTTCACATGGACAAATAAAAGGTCCAATGATGATCTTAGAGCAAGCAAGATTGACAGGGTCTTCATTAATGCAAATTGGCAGAACATGTACTCTCATTATTCGGTAGAATTTTTACTGCCAGGTGTTTCAGATCACTCTCCATGCCTAGTGCTTCTTAACACCACTGATAGGAGAAGGAAGCCCTCTTTTAAATTCTTCAATTTCTGGATTGAAAGTCCCGATTTTCTATCGATTGTCTACACTGGCTGGCAACTGGATTTTAGAGGATCCAAAATGTTTATTCTGGTGAACAAGCTGAAAGCATTGAAACAAAAACTCAATCACTTGAATAAATCTCAATTTAGTGACCTATGTCGTAAGGTCAAAGATGCTAGAGCGAACCTACAGCGAATACAACGAGATCTTGCATCGGAACCGTACAACATAAACACCCGGGATGAAGAAAAGGCACAATTGGAGCAACTACTGACCCATAGCAAACATGAAGAAGTCCTCCTAAAGCAAAAATCTAGAAATCTATGGTTGAAGGAGGGGGACAACAACAGCAGGATTTTCTTTGCCTCCATGATGCGTAGAAGTGCTCAGAACAGAATTAACCAGCTCTCACTCGATGATGGCACTACTATAACAGATGAGGGAGTTCTTAGGGATGCAATTGTATCTTATTATCATCGCGTACTTGGTAGCTCCAGGCACACTCATTTCCCTTACGAACGGTTTGCTTCCCTATTCCCTGAAGATGTCAGTACCGCCATCATTTTACCAGACTTTCAACATACTGAGATCATTAAAGTGCTCAAAGGCTTAAATAATTTCAAAGCCCCGGGTCCAGATGGATACAACAGTTTATTCTTTAAAAAAGCCTGGCCCATCATAGGGCGTGATATAGAGGATGCTATCATGGACTTCTTCTCCTCTAGAAGACTGCTGAAAGCTATCAATTCTACTCTGTTATCCCTTGTGCCGAAGGTACAAAAGCCATCCCGCCTCACGGATTTCAGGCCCATCTCATGCTGCAATGTTCTATATAAGATCATATCGAAACTATTTGTGGAAAGACTCATCTATTTCCTCCCTTCGGTTATTAGCCTCAACCAAACCGCTTTCATCTCGGGTAGACAGATATCGGAGAATATTCTGCTTTGCCAGGACCTTCTTCATAACTACCATAAGGGCGTTAAAGGTAAACGCGTGACAATAAAAATTGACCTTATGAAAGCTTTTGATATGGTAAAATGGGAAGCAGTTCTTGGTGTTCTTAGGGCTATCAATATACCTCAGCATTTGTTTGATCTGATAGCTCAATGCATAACTACACCGAGGTTTTCGATAAACCTCAACGGCGAACAAGTTGGCTACTTTGCCGGTACCAATGGACTAAGACAAGGTGACCCACTCTCTCCTTATCTATTTGTCTTGGTTATGGAAATCCTCAACAGGATCATAATTGAGAAAGTTGCAGCATCCTCCTTCAAATATCATTAGCGCTGCAAAATGGAAAAAATCACTCACTTATGCTTCGCAGATGATCTGTTTCTTTTTTCTCACGAGGATGTAAATTCAGTCATTTGCCTTGTTGATGTACTTGATGAATTTGCAGCTCTCTCAGGACTGCACTTCAATCCAGATAAATGCCAAATCTTTTTCTCTGGGTTGTCCGAGGAAGAAAAGGGAATTATATTGGGTCACACACCTTTCCCCACAGGTAACCTCCCTATTAGATACCTTGGTGTTTCGCTTATTACAAGAAGACTCACACACGCAGATTGTAAGAGTCTGACCGATAAAATATTCAAAAAAATAGAAGGCTGGGGCATGCAACATATTAGCTACGCTGGTCGTCTCCAGTTGACGAAATCGGTACTTATTTCCATCTGTACCTTTTGGATGCAAATGTTTTTACTTCCAAAGCAAACTATATATGAAATTGAAAAGAAGATTAGACATTTTTTGTGGGTTGGAAATACAGAAGGCCACGGATCACACAAAGTTGCTTGGGATTTGTTCGCTAAAAAAGGAAGGAGGTCTAGGGTTGCCTCATCTAAAATTATGGAATAAAGTTTTGCTTGGCCGTATGCTTTGGAACCTCATAAATTGTCCGTCATCTTCCTTGTGGAGTAAATGGGTCCATAGTACTAGGGGTGAGCGCGGTTCCAGGGTAGAACCGGGAACCGGAGAACCAGACCGGACCGGGTCCGGTTCGGTTCCAGGTTCCATAGACAGAGGGTCCGGTTCTCGGTTCCCCATTTTTAGGACCCGGCTGTTCCGGTTCCGGTTCCCGATCGGAACAGGAACCAGAACCGGAACCGGATCGGAACCGGAACCAAGAACCGGGACCAGGAACCGGATCCCTAAAAATTAAAACATAAACTACACATTTGGTATTTAGAAACCCTAATTCACCTTGTCCCTCCATCTTGTCCCTCCTGCTTCCACTTCCGCCTCGCTCCCGCTTTCGCTTCTGCCTTGCTCCTCGCTCGGTTGCTCCTGCTTCCACTTCCGCCTCGCTCCCGCTTCTGCCTCGCTCCTCGCTCCCGCTTCTTGCTTTCGCCTTGCTCCTCGCTCCCGCTTCCGCGGTTCTCTCCCGCTTCCGCCTCGCTCCGGCTTCTTCGCCGCAGGTCTCGTGATCTCCCCACGCGGATTCGCTGCGATTATTCGGGCTCGCCGCCGTCTTCCTCCTTTGAAGCTCCGTCGCTCTGGTACGTAACGTCTTCGAACAACCCCTGCCATTCACGCCTTCTCTCTTTGAATTCCCACCGTTGCTTCTGTTCATCTTTTGCATCGATTGATTGAATTAAGTCATGACGATCGTGGCTGAGTTGTGTGAAATCGTGCTCTTGCGTGCACATTCATCTGGATTCACCGCTTAGTGAATGTGAGGAGAGGGAAAATGCGGTGGATCTGTCCCCGATTGAATGTGAGGAGAGGGAAGCGGGGGGGGGGGGGGGGGGGGAGTTAACCGATTGGTTAATTGTCGATTGCGATCGTATCTTAAGGGCCTTCGAGATTTGCTCTTTTTTGTTGCTGCTGCCAAAGGGGAAACAACCATGAGCCTCACTCTCATTGAGGGTGCTGCTGCCAAAGGAGCTGGTACTTTCTCAGACTTTTCTTAACAGCCCCCCATTTTTTTAATGACTTTCTGCTCGTAAGTGGTGCGGGATTCATAGTTAAGAAGGTTGGTGTTTCTTGTATGTAGTAGTGTCTGGGTTCGCTTCATTCGTAGGCAACTTATGGATTTACAAGATTTTGGTCTTTCTTGTTTATTAAGCTGCGTTATTTTGTGTCCCCGGTTAGAATTCTGCTCTCGCTTTTCCAGATATTGATTATTATGCACATAACTAAGACGGGCTCGCGTCTTATTTCTTGGAGATTTTCTTTTGGTTGATCCACTGTTCTGTTCCTAACATCCTCGTGCCATTGGTTGTTTTGCCTGTTTCGTTTGAGCTCACGGTAGAATGACAAGGTTTTTCTTATTTTTTTGGGTGTTTTTTTGAGAATATTCGAAGCTGAAAAATTGATGTTTGAGGTTCTCAATTAATCTTGTTCTACAATGTTCAGTCTGCTTAGATGGTACATTGCCCGGTTATCATCTTCACAATGGCTCTGGATCTGGTGCAAACAGTTGGGTGGTCCATTTAGAGGTTTGTTGAATGGACTTTATGTTATATGATTTAAAAGAGCATACTTAAGCTAGTTAATTTTGCAAACTTATGTTATTTCTTCTCTACTGCATGGTTTTCTTGCTCAGTTCTTCATGGCACTCCAATTCTTGATTTTTTTCTGTCTGCATTTTCTATAAGCCATTTGATGTTGTTTTACATTGTTGTAGGGTAGGGGATGGTGCAATACAGTGAGGAATTGCGTTTACAGGAAAACTACTCGTCATGGTTCATCAAAGTTTATGGACAAGGAAGTAGCTTTCACAGGAATATTGAGTAATAAAGCTGAAGAAAACCCTGGTATTTAAAATCTATTAACGATTCAATCTGTCTCGAAACGATTCTTTGCCATAGTTTATTCAAATTGGAACTGTCATACGAGCGATTGTGCTTTGCTGGCAGATTTTTTCAATTGGAACAGAGTAAGGATACGGTACTGTGATGGGGCTTCTTTCAATGGAGCAGGCCAGGACGAGGTTGGTTGGAAGATTCTAAGCTTTTGTATTCTCTATTGTTACGTAGAAATGATTGCTGTTGTGGTCTTAGTATACAATCATAAGAGTCTACATCATAGGCCAGCCAAATATTTAAATGATTCATGAAACACACCTGGGAATGAGCATTTATTCTTACAGTGGTCTACCTTCACCAAGATCCAAGTCTTAACTCTTAAATAAGATTACCAGTCCTCACTCCCTTTCTTTTAAGAAAAAATGTGACTTTTCTATAATTTGTCTTTTGTATTCTTTTTTATGAATGTTCATTTTCGTTTTGATTAACTAAAAATAAAATAAAATAAAAAGAACCTGTTGGAACCTGGAACCTGTGACAGGGTAGGTTCCAGGTTCCTCATTTTGAGGAACCTGTACCCGAGGGTAGGTTCCAAGTTCCAGGCGGAACCTACCCGGAACCTGGAACCGCTCACCCCTACATAGTACCAAGTGTAGAGGCAATTCGTTTATGCAACTCGAAATCAAGGGCTCTATGGCATGGAGTTGGCGTTGTATTCTTCAACTAAGACCGGCTTTAGCTTCAATCATATCTAGACCAAGATATTATTGCCAAGAGATATACGATGAAACTAGAAATGTGAGACCGGCTCTGGAATGGTCCCAATTGATCTGGAAAGGAGGTATTAGCAAGCATAACTTCATCGGCTGGCTAGTTTGTAGAGATAGACTACAAATAGCAGAAATCATATCACGTTGGACGCCTGAAGTAGATATTCATTGCAATTTTTGTATGTCTAGTCTGGAAAGCAAAGACCATATATTCTTCCAGTGCACCTGGACCGAAAGCATTTGGCGCACTATTCTTGCACAATACGGAATTCGACGCCCTGTAGAAGGATGGAATGATGAACTTAAATGGATGATCAATGCTACAAAAGGTAAGGACTTGGCGGCGAGACTTCTGAAGGTATCTTTCCTAGCGATCATATACTGCATTTGGATGGAGCGTAATCGTAGACGCTTCCAACAAAAGTCCAATGATGCCCTTATCATTTTGGCTAAAGGTCGCAAACTTGTTAGAGGGTGACCTTCGCACTACAAATCTTTTAGATCGTCCCGAACAAATGAAACTTTGGCTATTATATGGAGACTCCCCCACTCCATTTTTTTGTAATCTTAGTTCTATTTGTAATGCTGGGGAATGCCCCTAAGCTTCTGTACGTCATCTTATACATACTACTTACATTTACACCAAAAAAATATATATATTTAAATATTCTATCGTTCACTTACACTAGATGGGGTTAGGGTTTAGGTCTTCCACTCAATTTGGGGCAACAAAAGGGCCAAAATGACGTCGTTTTACTAACTTCATTTCCCCGTCAAGTCATGTCAAACCATTTATATTATATTAATGCCACATCGGATTTCTGGCAAGGGAATCGCAAACGTCATTCAAGTAAACGTTTTTAAAATTTTATAACCCTCAAGCGATTGATTGAAAAGTTATTAAATCAAAGTGAGTGTCATATGAAATTCAAGGCACTTATGGTGTCATTTTCCTAAAATAGTAATTGAATCATAATATAAGTACATGCAATATTTCAAGCATGTAAAATGATATAAATTAATATAACCAAAAAGCGTCAAGTAAGAATGCAAATTCTCCTCTCTTGATAGCTAGCAAAGCATATCCTAGGGCCATCTCATTTCAAGTGTTAAATTTTCTTAAGAGTAAAATGGTTTGCTCTTCTCTATTTATAGAGATTTAGAAAAATTATCATCCAATTTCATATATTTCAGTTTCCTTTATTATGGAAATTCTCACTATATTTTTTGCTAATCATTTGATGTCTATCTCTTTGATCCGGCAAGAGTTTATTGATATTTCATCATCCATGACAATGTATCATAAAAAGATTATTGGATATATTGTGAAACAAATGCACTAAACAATGTAAGTTCAAAGAAATTCGCAATGTATTTTTTTTTCACTAGAATCGTTTTATTTGTTTCAAAACCCTAAAAATTAACTTCCTTTCTTTTCTTGTGAAAATTTGGCTGCCAACTGTTGGTTGTTAACATAGGATGCATTTTTTTATGCTTCAAATGAATTATTTTACCAATGGAAGAGAGGTTACAAAAGGTTACCGAACAGTCATATCGACAGTTACATTGACTTCATAACCTTGACGGTGTTTCGACTCCACTATCTTCACGATTGCTTTATTTCACTACGTTGACTGTTACATTCAAGATTGTCGACTCCACTTTTTATCGATTCCTTCAAGCTGTCGATTTATCAAGTTATCAATAATACTGGTCATACTGTTCATAAATGACCAAACTCTATTCTTATCGACTAAGTCTATCACATGTCGATAATAACCAAAAGTTGTTCATTTTTTTTGTGTAAACAAATGCCCCCTTTTAAAAGAATTGAATGATTCATCAATCATTCTATTCTTTTAAATTATATAATCCAAAGTCATCACGTACTCTCTTGTCATAGACAAATTTGATTTTCCTTGCCAAATTTTATGTTGGTCAGATTCATCATATGGCTCAATTTTTCCACAAAAAGGCACGTTTTCTGCAAAGTCTTCATGTGGTCCTCCATCTTTGTCCTTAAGTAGTTACTCATACTTAGACACTGTCATTGCAAATTGTAATAAATCGGCAAAATTTTGGCATTGAAATTTTTCTCTAAGATTTAATTTCAATCTAGAAAGCCAAATTTGTGAATTCTTTATCTGAGAGTGAAGTAAGGTGTCTATTTCTAGCCCTCTTAAGTCGAGAAATAAATTGATCAACCAACTCATTATAGTATTGATAGATTCTGGTCAAATCAACAATCGATAACTTAGGTATCATTTTATAAAATTGAGAATGGAATTGTCTTTCCATCTCAACTAGTATAGATTGAATCAAGAGATAAATTTGTATGCCTAGTAAATGCAGTTTTGTGATAAAAACAAACGGAATAATGTAAGTCTCAGAAATTCATTCTTCCTATCTCTCCACTTTGGGCAATAAATTGATTAATGTGTTCGATGGTTGATTGGTCATTTTCGCCGGTGAAAATAGTGAAGTCAAGAGTTTTGAATTATCTTGGGTAAGATATAGTGTCAACTAAATCAGGATGTGACTTCCTATATACTGGCCTAACGATTCCTCCATAGACACCAAATTCTTGTAGTACGAGTTCAGCCACTTGATCAGGATTCGCAAGTCGATAAGTTTTCCTTTCTTGCCCCCTAAGTTCAGGGTAGATAGGTCAATAGACTTGAAATTTCTGCTGCTAGGTTCAAGGTAGATCGGATTTTTAGGCCTTTGTAAAATTCTCATTGTGGTGGGATCACTTGTCTTAAATTATTTCCACTGTTCAATTTACTGGTGTTGAAATAACATATCCAGAAGCCACCGTGTTTGGTTGGATCGATATGGACTAATTAATGTCTTGAGCCTGGAGATGACATCGTTGATCGCATTGATGACCATTGGCCCGATCACATCAGAGATGTGTCTCGCTATGTGATTCCTCGAACAGCCTCTTTATGGTAGCCACCAAGGTGGGGTTTGGTACTAACTCCCTCACCTGCTCCTCCATATAGTGCCATGAGATTTTGATGCCGCCCCCTTAGCTTAACTCTGTTGTTGAAGCGATTGAGGTCTTGGACTAGATAGCCGTGTCATTGGGGTTGTTACTTGCAACATGATTAGGTTGAGGATGATTCCTTGTTTTCAGCATTATACTTCCTCAAATCGACAACACTAGTCCTATTGGGCGTGCCAAAAAGAGGTTTCGCCGAAATTAGACTTCACAACAAAATACCTTTCACCAAAACTCGTTCTTTAGTTTTTTATTAGAGGAGACAGGTTTTGTATCGATTTCGGATAGGAAATATTACAAGTAGACAAGGAATCGATCGCTTCACTTCAAAAAGAATCAAACATACACAGAATATGCTGGAATTTTATCAATGATGCAGTTTGAGAAAGTAAAGATGCAACACTGAAATTTAATTAACCACGAGGTACCTCGAAACTACAATAAAGATACACGTCGAAATTTAATTGACGATGCAGATCAGAAAACTACAACTAAGAAATATGCTAGAATTTAATCAACAATGTGAATCTAAAAATTATAACTAAAGTGCAAGAATTGAAAGATAAATATATTTGTTTGTTTGTGCATGGATGGGCCTTTGAAGAGTACCATGTAAAGCCTATAAGAAACAGTTATCAACGAAGGTTACAAAAGGAGGTTACAAAAGGTTATATCGACTGTTACGTTGACTCTACCACCTTGACGGTTTTTTCGACTCCACTATCTTGGCAGTTGCTTTATTACACTACGTTGACGGTTACTTCTTTGACGATTGCATGCGAGATTGTTGACTTCACTTTTTATCGACTCCTTCAAGCTGTCAATTCGTCCAGTTATCGAAAATTCTGTTCATAAATGATCAAACTCTGCTCTAATCGACTAGGTCTATCACATATTGATAATAACAAAAAAAAGACAATCATTTTTTGGTGTAAATACACAGTCTTCTAAAAATCTTCACCACGTCATTACAACATACATCTGCACTTATCACAAAGACATTAAATCAATGATAATTTTGAAATTGTCAAAATTAAATAATGATTTTTTTCCAACACAATATACAAATGAAAATATATATTAAAAAAACACTTAAATGCCAATAAATAATTACAAATATTTTTTGTGTGTTGACTAACTTTGTTAGATACACTAAATGTTGATCGGTATGGGATGATCGCTTTATAGAGCTCATCAAAATTAACTTATTTTTCATTCGATGAGGGTAAGGAGGTATCCATTCATATGATATTTCTTCGACAAGCAACACTAGTAATGAAAATTAATAGTATGAAGTCTCAGCCATCATCACCAAATGTACTTAGGTTAATAAGATGTCAATCAAATACTTATGCATCTCTTCTTTCTTGATGAAGCAAAATCTAGGCATAACGATTTCATGTATAACGGG